TCACATTTAGGTCTTTAACCCATTTTGAGTTTTTATGTAAGATGTTAAGTGGTCCAGTTTCATTCTTTTGCATGTTGCTGTCCAGTTTTCCCAGCTTCATTTGTTGAAGAGACAGTCTTTTTCCCCATTGGATATTCTTGCCTCCTTTGTCGAAGATTAACTGACCATATGATTATTTCTGGGCTTTCAATTTTGTTCCATTGATCTATGTGTCTGGTTTTTTTTAAAGATTTTTTTTTTTTTTTTATTTGACAGAGAGAGACACAGGGAGAGAGGGAACACCAGCAGAGGGAGTGGGAGAGGGAGAAGCAGGCTCCCTACTGAGAGGGGAGCCTGACGCTGGGCTCGATCCCAGGACTCTTGAGATCCTGACCTGAGCCAAAGGCAGATGCTTAACGACTGAGCCACCCAGGCGCCCCTATGTGTCTGTTTTTATGCCAGCACTATACTGTTTTGATTACTACAGCTTTCTAATACAAAAGAAAGTCTAGGGGTGCCTGGGTGGCTCAGTCAGTTACGCGTCTGTCCTCAAGTGGAGTCTTTTAGGTTTTCTGCAGAGAGGATCATGTCATCTGCAAATAGTGAAAGTTTGACTTCTTCCTTACCGATGCAGAGGACTTTTCTTTTTGTTATCTGACTGCTGTGACTAGGACTTCCAGTACTATGTTGAATAAAAGTGGTAGGAGCGGACATCCCTGTCTTGTTCCTGACCAAAGAGAAAAAGCTGTCAGTTTTTCCCTATTTAGAATGGTATTAGCTGTGGGTTTTTCATATATGGACTTCATAAACCTACTCTGTTTAGGGTTGTTAGCATGAATGGATGTTGGTACTTTGTCAAATGCTTTTTCTGCATCAATCGAAATGATATGTGTAACCTTTTATTAATGTGGTATATTATGTTGATTGATTTGTGAATATTGAACCACCCTTACAAACCAGGGATAAATCCCACTTGATGGTGGTCACTTTTAAAAATACACTGCTGGATTTGGTTTGCTATTATTGAGGACTTTTATATGTATGTTCATTAAGGATATTAGCCTATAGTAGTTCTCTTTTTTTTTTTTTTTAGTGGTCTCTTTATCTGGTTTTGCTATCAGGGTAATGCTGGCCTCCTAGAATGAATGTAGAAGTTATTCCTTTTCTATTTTTAGAAATAGTTTGAGAAGAATAGGTATTAACTCTTCTTTAAAATGTTTGGTAGAATTTGCCTGTGAAGCCATCTGGTCCTGGACTTTTGTCTGTTGGGAGTTGATAACTGATTCAGTTTCTTTGCGGGTAATTAATCTGTTCAAGTTTTCTATTTTTTCCTGTTTCCATTTATAGGTAGTTGATGTTTCTAGAAATTTATCCATTTCTTCTAGGTTTTCCAATTTGTTGGCATATAGTTTTTCACCATATTCTCTTATGATTGTACTTCTGTGGTGTTGGTTATTTCTCCTTTCATGATTTTATTTGGGTCCTTTTTCTTTTTAAGTATGGCTCAAGGTTTATCACTTGTCTTGGTCTTCTCAAAGAACCAAGTCCTGGTTTCACTAATCTGTTCTGCTGGGGTTTTTTTTTAGTTTCCATATCATTTATTTCTGCTCTCATCTTTATTATTTCCTCCCTTCTGCTGTTTTGGTTTTGTTTGTTCTTTTCCTAGTTCCTTTTAGGTGTAAGGTTAGGTTGAGATTTTCCTTGCTTCTTGAGGTAGGCCTGTATTGCTGTATACTTCCCTCTTAGGACCACTTTGCTGCATCCCAAAGGTTTTGGACTGCGGTTGTTTTCATTTTCATTGGTTTCCATGTACTTTTTTATTTCCTGGTTGACCCATTGTCGTCCCTCCCACCCCCCATTGTTTAGTAGCATGCTAGGTTACCTTCATGTGTTTGTGGTCTTCCCAGAATTTTTCTTGTGGTTGACTTCCAGTTTCATAATGTTGTGGTCATAAAACGTGCATGGGAGGACTTTGCTCTTCTTGAATTTGTTGAGGCTTGTTTTGTGGCCTAATGGGTGATCTAAAGAATGTGGCATGTACACTTGAACGTAATGTGTATTCTGTTTTAGGATGGAACGTTCTGCATATATCTTTTAAGTCTATCTGGTGCAGTGTGTCATTCAAAGCCAATGTTTTTTGATTTTCTGTTCAGATGATCTGTCTATTGATATCTGGGCTGTTAAAGTCCCCTACTAGCCTGATACTGTTATTCATTAGTTCCTTTATGTATTTGGGTGCTCTCATGTTGGGTGCATAAATATCTCCAATTGTTATATGTTCTTGTTGGGCTGTCCCCTCTATTATATAGTGGCCTTCTCTGTCTCTTGTTACAGTCTTTGCTTTAAAGTCCAGTTTGTCTGATATACTGTTACTCCAGCTTTCTTTTGACATCCTCTTGATGTTTCTCCATCCCCTCACTTTGAATCTGCAAGTGTCCTTAGGTCTAAAAGAGTCTCTTGGGGCACATGGCTGGCTCAGTTGGAGGAACATGAAACTCTTGATCTAAGGGTTGTGAGTTCAAGCCCAATGTTGGATGTAGAGATTACTTCAAAGTAAAATTTTTTTTTTTTTTAATATTTTATTTGACAGAGAGAGAGAGAGGAGGAGCACAAGCAGGGGGAGTAGGAGGAGAAGCAGGCTTCCTGCCTAGCAGGGAGCCTGATGCGGTGCTCAATCCCAGGACCCTGGGATCATGACCTGAGCCGAAGGCAGATGCTTAACTGACTGAGCCACCCAGGCGCCCCAAAATCTTAAATTTTTTTTAAATGAGTCTCTCGTAAGCAACATATAGATGGGTCTTGTTTTGTTGTTTTTTTATCCACTCTGTCACCCTATGTCTTTTGATGAGAGCATTTAGTCCATTTACATTCAAAGTAATTATTGACAAGCATTTATTGTCATTTTACTGTTTTGTGGTGGTTTGTGGGGATTTTCTCTGATCCTTTTTTTTGCATGGTTTGGTTTTTTTAATTTTTAAATTTTTGTTTTATTAACATATAATGTATTATTTGTTTCATGGGTACAGGTCTGTGATTCATCAGTCTTACACAATACACAGCGCTCACAAGACATACCCTCTCCAATGTCCATCACCCAGCCACCCCATCCCTCCCAACCCCACCACTCCAGCAACCCTGTTTGTTTCCTGAGATTAAGAGTCTCTTATGGTTTGTCTCCCTCTCTGGTTTCTTCTTGTTTCATTTTTTCCTCTTCTCTCATGGTCCTCTGCCTTCTCAAATTCCACATTATCAGTGAGATCATACGATACTTGTCTTTCTCTGATTGACTTCTTTCACTTAGCATAATACCCTCTAGTTCCATCCACATTGTTGCAAATGTTAAGATTTCATTTTTTGATGGCTGCATAATATTCCACTATATATATACACATCTTCTTTATCCATTCACCTGTCGATGGACATCTGGGCTCTTTCCATACTTTGACTATTGTGGACATTGCTGCTATAAACACTGGGGTGCAGGTGCCCTTTTGGATCACTACATTTGTATCTTTGGGGTAAATACCCAGTAGTGTAGCTCTATTTTCAACTTTTTGAGGAACCTCTATACTGTTTTCCAGAGTGGCTGTACCAGCTTGCATTCCCACCAACAGTGTAGGAGGGTTCCCCTTTCTCTGCATCCTTGCCAACATCTGTCATTTCCTGACTTGTTAATTTTAGCCCCTTTGGTGTGAGGTGGTATCTCATTGTGGTTTTGATTACTTCCCTGATGCCAAGTGATATTGAACACTTTTTCATGTGTCTGTTGGCCATTTGTATGTCTTTGCAGAAATGTCTGTTCACGTCTTCTGCCCATTTCTTGATTGGATTATTAGTTCCTTGGGTGTTGAGTTTGGTAAGTTCTTTATAGATTTTGGATACTAGCCCTTTATCTGTCATTTGGTTTGCTCGCTTTCTTGAGCGATTTGAATTTTTCTTTATTCTTTGAATATTTATATTTTGATTTGTGGTTACCATTAGGTTTGCATATAACTTCTGCATATAGCAGTCTGTATTAAGTTGATGGTTGCTTAAATTCGAACTCATTCTTGACTCCTATCTTCCCCACATTTTAGGTATATGTCGTCCTATTTTGCATCTTTAGAGGGTCCCTTAAAGGATTTTTTTTTTTTTTTAAGATTTTATTTTTTGACAGAGAGAGAGACAGCGAGAGAGGGAACACAAGCAGGGGGGAATGGAAGAGGGTGAAGCAGGCTTCCCGCTGAGCAGAGAGCCCGATGCGGGGCTCGATCCCAGGACCCTGGGATCATGACCTGAGCCGAAGACAGATGCTTAACGACTGAGCCACCCAGGCGCCCCCCTTAAAGGATTTTTTTAAAATAGAAAGTCATTTTTACTGCATTTGCTTCCTACCTCCATACTGTCACTTTTTGTCTCTTCTATTTCTCCTTTAATATTTTTTGCAGGGCAGGTTTAGTGGTCATGAACTTTAATTTTTGTTTGGGAAACTATTTTTCTTATTTTGAATGTTAGCTTTGCTGGGTAGAGTACTGATGGCTGCAGATTTTTCTCTTTCAGCACTTTGAATAGATCATGCCAGTCCCTTCTGGCTTGGAGAGTTTCTGATGAAAAATCCGCCAATAGCTTTGTGGGTTTTCCCTTATAAGTAACGGTCTTATTTTGTGTTAGTGCTTTTAAGGTTTTGTTATGACTATATTTTGTAAATTTAATTATGTCTCGGTGTTGGCCTGCTTATGTTGATGTTGATGGGTGTTCTGTGTCTCCTGCATCTGGATGTCTGTTTCCTTCCCCAGTGTAGGGAAGTTTTCAGCTACTGCTTCAAAAAAATTGTGTCCCCTCTGTCTCTCTTCTTCCAGGACTCCTATGATGTTACTACACATTGATGGAGTCAGTGAGTTCCCTAAGTCTATTCTCATTTTGTGTAATTTTTTTTCTTTTGTTCAGCTTGATTACTTTCTATTACTTGAAGTCATTAATTCGTTGCTCTGCTTCTCCCAGCCTGCTGTTCATTGCACCATGCATGCTTCTAGTATCATTCATTGCACTTTTTTTTTTTTTTTTTAACTCCTATCTCTGTAGTAATGGTCTCACTGATGTCTTCCATTCTTTCCTCAGGCTCCACAAGTATCCTTAGGATCATTGCTTTAAATTCTCCTCAGACATGTTACTTCTGTTTCACTTAGGTCTCTGGTCATGGCCTTATCTTGTTAATTTGGGATAAATTCATCTGCCTTCTCACTTTGTCTAAATCTCTGCCTGCTTCTGTGGGTTAGCCAGTTAAGTCTCCTGCTCCTTAAAGTAATGGCCTTCTGAAGAGGTCATGTAGTGCCCAGGGCCTGGTGCTTCAGGGAGTGTCTCCGTGTGTGGTGCGTGTTTTCTGCTGTTGTATTCTGGCTCCTCTATCCTTCAGGCCGTTTATGTCCAGAAGCTCCCCTTGCCTGCCATGGTCAGTGTGTGGTCCCTGGCCTGAATGTTTTAGCTGGTGAGTTTTAGTTAGGTGGGCTTTGATCTGCTTGTGAGATGAAACTTGTCATCACCTTCACTGGAAATGAGGCTCTGGTCGGGAAACATGGTATGGGCAGGGGTTTGTGCCAGTCTTCTGGATGAGGGGGCTCGCCACACTTGGGACTAAAGCAGGCTTGACTGAGAAGGGCAGTTCTGCGGAAGCACAGGGGTGTGAGGCTTACTGTAAGCCAGTTAGGCAGCCGGTTCCTGCAGGTGGCTCTGTGTTTATACTGAGGCGTGTGGGAGGGCAAGGGCAGGCAAGGGCAGCCCAGCTTCTTTGTTCTTGGAGCTGTATCTCTGTGAATGCTGCCTTTGGTCACACTCCGAGAAGATAAAATAATCTCCACACCGCCCCCACCCCCACCCGTGGGTTCTGCCGGCACTCTTCAGATCACTATTTCCACACTGTCTGTCCCTAGGTTGTTTGCCTGCCTTCTTTCCAAGAGCAGTTGTGAAGCCTCCGGACTGGACTCTCCAGGAGCCCAGCCTGCTAACAAACATCTGGCTTTAAGTCCCACTTTCAGCTCCTCTCACTTTCCAAACCAATGGTTATGAGGAAACGTTCTCCTTTTGTGTTCCCCCATGTGTTCCTCTCTCTACCTTCTCCATAACCAGGGCTCCCTCCTCTCTGCAGCAGCCAGGACCCATTTCTCCCCAAACTCCATCTCTATACTTCCTACCTTCGGTTTTACTTGTGGAGTTTGGTCTGCCAGTCTTGAGGTTGATTTCTGGCGTATTTAGGATGAATGGATAGTTGTGTTTGTGGGATGAGGCAAGCCTAGGGTCCTCTGCTGCCACCTTTCCCTCCATACCAGGTGGTGGCACTTTATAGATAACTGTAACCTCACCATCATGCTCCTTGCTCCAAAAGATACGGGGATTAAGGTCCAGATAGCTGCAGAAAATACGGCTTAGAAAATAGGGGTAGAAGACAGCTGTACAATGCCCTGGATCATCTTTGGTGTTAAGATCCCTCTCAGTATGGAGGATATGGTACTGGCCCCTCTTCCACCTTCTTACAGATGAGATTTTAGGGTTATTCTAATTCAGACTAGCTGCCTGGCTTAAGGGTGATGATTTAAAATGTAGACCGTTTATCCCGAAGTCCAAATATTAGAAGTACCTAAGCAACAGAATTATTCTGAAAGGATTTTTTAAATGAGATGGTTAGAGAGCCAGGCAGCTCAAGTGCTCTAACGTGGGAGCCCAGCCCGAGATGATGACGTCCTTCACTGGCTCCTGCTGACCTGTTAAGTCGTGGAGCCTGTAGTGCCCTACAAATTAGAACTGCCTTAACAGCTAATAAGCATTTATACAATTAGGCAGAGAGATAGTAAACTTCACTTAAACGATGCTAAAACATTTTCCAATGTTTTGGAGTTTGGTCACAGTCGTTTTGTATCTACCAGCTTAACCTGTTTGATCTTACTCCACACCCCAAGGTACTAAATCCAAAGGAGATTTAAAAAAAAAAAAATTTCTCAGAAACCAAGAGTAAAAGAAAATGGGCTACTGGGGAGATGGGTCTCAGACTGAATTATGCATCCACTGGAGTGTGTGCAACCAAATATGGAAGGAAACCTTCAGTTAATGACACACAGCTTAGTAAACTGGGTGAGTGTCCCTTTTAGATGTAAATTTGTGACTTAGAATTTCTCTTTCTGTGGCCCATGTATCTCAGTCATATTAAATTTGCCAATTTAATATTGACCAAAGACAACTGGGGGACCAAAGACAACTGTTAGAAGGTGATCACACAGACCCTAACTTGGCTCAAGTATTTTTGTTTCCAGATTTTCTAGAATCACAAGGGCTACCCCCCAACTACTGTTTAAAATCACTAATAGGTACATAGCTCTTCAGTGGAGAAACTGTTATTCTCGTTATGTTGAGTATACGATGTTTTTATTTTAGTTTGCTGAATGAAAAAAACAGAAAAATCCAGTATCTTTTCCAGGTCTGGTCATTCTCCATAGCAATTGTTACAAACAGCCCTGAAGGAGCTGGAATACAGTCAGCAAGGGGCCCAGGTGGAGCAACAGTTCATCTTGGCAAGTATATATTTATTTCCTTTGGTGCCTTGCACAGTAAGGCACTAATAAAGATGTAACAGAAGAAATGGCCCACACCAAATAGTTCTAGTGACAATTTACTAGACAAGTTACAGTTTAAGGATGGTGGTGGTGATTGTTTCATTTTATTAATTTTTACAATAAGGTTGTAGCCTTTATACTCCACACACACACACAAAATAAAACAAGTGCTTATGAAAGAGTCCCTGCCCCCACCCCCCTTTCCAAAACATCCTGAACATAGCAATTCAATAGAACAGAAAAATCAAGACCTGTTTGATTTCAAAATTTCAATAAAAAAAGCAAAGTATGTAATGCAACAGCTGTTCAACTTCCAACTCTAAATAGGCACCATAAAACAAAACAAAAACTCTCAGTATTTAATACACTTTCCAGTATAAATGCTCTGTAATCAGCTAGTAATAAATGGGAACAGAACCTTAGAACAGAAGTTATATTGCTTCCCTGCTCCCCCTTTCTCTTATAATTAGAGGGTGGAGGTATTAGGGGATACAAAAGTCAGAGGAAGAAGAATTAAAAAGAAAAATTCTGAAGCTGTTTGTGGACTAGAAAGGAAGACAGCATTTTACAAATGTTCAAAAAATCCCAAGGCAAGCAACACAATTCGTTCACTATCACTCCTACTAGAAAGAATAAAGATATCGGCATCTTATTATATAAAACTGTACTTTCAGAATCGCATTACAGGTTCACCAGAAACTATGGATGTAATTTTAGGCTTCATCAGGGAAACAAGTTCAGTTCAGATCAAGTTAGATACTGTGCATCTAGCCTATCTGGATCGGAGTATGGAACTGCTCACTGTTACCCCCAACAGCTGTAAACTAAACAATAGTATGTAACTCCATAGGAAGCTTAAGGATTGAGGATATGTACACAGCTAATTATATCTCCCCTGCTTCGCGCTCTTCAGAGCTCCTCCTGTCTTCTGATCTGCCATTAGCGCTCTCATAGGACCGCTTCTTATCTTTTCGATCTCTGTCACGAGGTGATCTGTCTCTTGAATTCCTGTCTCTGTCACGTGATGCTAAGTCTTGGTCTCTGAATCTTTCTTTTGAGGATCTGAAAAATATTAATTTGAGGAGCAAAATGTGTTGGGAAACCCAATATCCAAATGAAAGAATCGGATAAATATTAAGGTACTGAAAGCTGAAGTTATACAGAATACATCCAAGAAAGACAGAGGAGCCAGTTTTCTGACCGAAAAGAGCACTACCCAATCTGACAAGGGAGATGAGTGAAAACAAATTAAGGGTCAGAAACCATAAGCTACAATAATGACTTAATGGAGGATGTTATCATCTCAGAGGTAATCATAAAGGTTTTCTAATTCATGGCAAATGTGTTTAATATAAAAATAGTATATAGACAATACCTTAAAAAAGTGGAAGTGTTAACAGTGTAGGTGCCAAACTGGGTGGAAATTAAGGACTTAGAATGGGGGTCAGCAAACTTTTTTTTTCTTTGCTGTCTGGCCAGAGTGTAAATACTTATGGGGGTATTCTTCTTCCTTTTCTTTTTATCAACCCTTTAACAATGTAAAAACCACCCATTGCTCACTAGCTATTCAAAGAACAGGCTATGGGGCCAGATTTGGCCTGCAGGCAACAGTTTGCCAAAACTTGACTTAGATAAGAGAATTAGTCAATGAAATGGCTTTAAATAACCATTTATTATTTTTGAAATCTTCTTTACTCTTCTTGAGTGAGCTCATTCAACCAAGAGAAAAAAATAAGAATGGAAGACACAGAAAGATGATCACCCTACCAACTCTCCATTCCCATACCCAATTTCATTAAGAAAGGTAAGTGATAACAAGCTCCTAGCAGAGATTCAATCAGAAGGAAAAATCAAAGGATATTATGGGATCAGAATATAAAATCTATTACTTTCAACATCTAGAATGAATCAGTAATATGTATTACATTTACTTGGTTCTTTACAAGTGACCTGGTACTTTATATATAATCTCACTTAACCAGACCTCAGATCCTAATTCTGAGCATGGGTCAAGTAATACTTTGAACTTCTAAGGCAGGAAAAAAATACTATACTCAGTTTTAGAAATGAGGAGGATTCAACCAAAAAGGTTCAAAAATTAATGTCAATTTTGAGCATGTTCTACCTTAAGGTTTTAATAAGCATGATTTTAAAAAGATGTGAAAAAAAAAATCACAGTGCATGTCTGGTTACACTAATCCTCTCCACAATCTTTTTAAGAATAGAATATGGAGAGAAATGATGCCTAAGAATTAAGGACACAGTTGCAGGTAAGTCTCAGAGGTCAGTACTAACTGGAAAAGAACCATGAGATGAGCATCAACTACGATTCTGTGAGGGATTACAACGTCCCATCCATAAGCAGTTTACTTACACTATGTCATTCAAACTACCACTAATCCTAATAACACAGGTACTTCAAAGATGTGGGGAGGGGAAGACAGGATAATGAGATTACTTGGCCAAGGCCACTGAACCCAAGTAGTCTGACTCTCAAGACTGCACTAGGTGTTTGAACAGACCAGGAAGTAGAAAAGTGCAGGTAAGTCCTCATTTATTAAGATCACTGTTGCCAGGGAAATGTCACCAACAGAATCATATCATACCACTATTTCACAGTTAGGGAAAAAGCAAATCGTAAGACTTGTAAACTTGTAACTAGGACCTTTACCTTGAAATTTAAACTCAAAGATATAGCAATTGGCTGCTTATTTTTGGTAAAAACACAGAAGGCTACTTTGAAAGAGACTAAGTTGTCGAGATTAGAAGTGCTCTTGAGAAAAGCAAAAACTTTTAATAGTTTTACAAAAATAAACCTGTTTATAAACATGCTGAAAATATTAAGGGTGTCATGTAGGATAGAAATACGTCCTATACAACTTCATAAATGCAGGAACCATTGGGGACTATGATAACACAACCCTGGTGAGGGGACATGCCCCTCCCCTCCATCCCGACCACCATTTAATAAAGACAGAGAGTTCACAGATACCAGCAACAATGACCTGGGGCAAGTTCACAAAACAAACTCTCTAGACCTTCCATCAAGCAGTAGGGTGACTCTCAAAACATACAGCGCAGGTAAATCTCGGGGGGAATTTGTTCATTCTCTGCCTTGGTCTGTGGTATTTACTCCATCTCGAATATCTCTTTACTACCTGGTTTTACCTACTATCTAGCTGAAGCCTTTTTTAATTTCTATGGTATTTCCCTCATCTAAACTCCTATATTACTCTGAATGTACACTTTAGCACTTTAATGGTCTGTTTATTATCAAAGATGTTAGTCTTGTGTTCTAACTTGAATAAAGTTGCTCAATCACAGTATACTTCCTGGTTATTTTTTACTAGGCCTAGTATAGAAGCAAGTGTACAATTCTTTTTGATTAAAGTTACTTGAACCAGTTTGCTAATAAGAGTAGAACGTGAATGTTCTCAAAAAAAAAAAAAGGATAAACACCTGAGGTGAAGGATATGTTAATTAACCACTGGTGGGAACTCTTTCATAACGTGTGTGTGTGTATATATCAAATCACCACAAAGTACACCTCAAATATCTTAATTATACCTCAGTAAAGCTGGGGGAGGGAAAAGGACCTACTTAGAAGAAAATATTCAGTGAAAGCCTATTCACCAACTCTTTGAGTGAATGGTTCCAAGGAAAGGCTTCTGTCCTCTCCCCCATCCCCACCAAAAGGTTTTTATCCGCTTTCTGGGAATTCTATCATGGGCTTTATGGAGAGTCATCGATAGAAAATTTAAGACTAGTAGGTGCTAGGCACTCAAAAAAGGTTTATTACATATATGCTTAAGAAGAGTTGTCATGAAAAAAAGCAACTGTAAGCATGGTTTCTATGTTCCATAGAAATGACCTGGCTTAAAGACCATCTTGTGACCTGAGAAGTTTTGGGAGCTTGGTGATGATGTAGTTTTTGAGTGCTAAGGCTCTATCACATTCTAATCCTTTGTCCTGAACAGATATTCAAGTCCTGCACCACACCCTAGATCTGCCCTCCTTGCACCTTTCAAATGTTCATGCCAAGAAAGTCTAGCCTCAAGATTCTGAATTGGCCCCACCAAGCTAACGGTCTATAGCAATGTATACCTAGAGTGCAGATGAAATAACATACCAGAATGTGTCTGCTCTGAAAAAGTGCACCAGCTCAAAGAAGTTTGGAAAACAGTAAGTCAAACAAAGCTAAACTCTTTAAATGAAAGGGCTTCTCAGAACCCATAATCCACCAGTACATACTGCAAAAACTGAGTATTGGTACCTAAATTGCCCACAAAGTACTTTTTTTCCAAAATACACTAAGAGAAAAAGCAATAACCTCTGTAGCACATATTGGTTCCAATTTCTTACTCTGGCTCCTAAGCGTATTCTGTAACTACCCATATAATCAGGGGGAAAAAAATGTTATACACTCACACACAAATGTGTACATGTGACCAGATGCAAGTTGCAAACCACTAGTATTCCACCTCTAAACCATAAAGGTAGTTCCATTCCTCTCACGGACGCCTCAGTACCTCCTCCGGGATCGCTCTCTGCTCCTGTCTCTCGAGCTGTGCCCGCTGCGCTGATGGCTGCGGCTGCGGCTGCGGCTACTCGAGCGGGATCGGTGGCGATGGCGTTTCTCCCGTGATTTGGATCGAGTTCTCCTCTTCCGTTCCCGTGACATAGAGCGAGAGCGATGTCTGCGATGCTCTCTGGACCTGGACCTACAAAAAACATGGGCTTTAGTTTTTAGCTTTCTCAGCAATGCATTTCTCCTTTGCTAAAGCCTCTTCTTTTAAGACAGAGGCTATCTCAGTAACCTGACTTAATGCCAGTTCTATTTCAAGTCAGCTACATCTACACCAAAAAAAAATGGTGGCATATTAACTACATACTAGAATTTCAAAATACAAATGAAACACTAGTCTCAGAGCTCAACCAATATTGTACAGATTTACATCAAAAAATATAAAAATTAAGACAATCCATAACACTACTACATGCCAAGGACTGGACTGTATTCTCTAGGTGATTTATGGATTTGTATTTCATTTAAACTTCTAAGATTTCTGGTATACTTTAGAAACAAAGTATGTACCTGATGGATATGGATAAAAGTGAGAAGAGGCAGGAGAAAGACTATCGTTTATGATAAGTCACTAACTGAATTAAAAAGGTGACAGGACCATCAAAATAAGTCTAAATGCCCACAATATACTTAGTCACAGGATAATCAACACAGTTCTCTATTAAAGCAGTACTTAAATTGGTAGAAAAAACTAACATACATAAATCAGTTTAGAGAACTTTATCGGAATTGAAAAAAGTATGAGAACAGTAGAGAAAAGGAAAAATGTTTTGAAGAAGCCAGAAGACAAACACTTGTGTAGCCTCCGCTGTGTCACACAACTAACAACATACGTGTGGGCTGAGGGTTGAAATGGCACATGCAGAGGACATAAAACACTGCAGAGAAAACAAGCAGGAAGAAAGCTATGCAACTTTCTTCTAAAGGTCATTTTAAGAGTAATGGCAACGATCTACACTTGACTTTGACAGTTCCACAACTCTGAATTCACTAAAAAATGATTGACCTGTACAGTTTAAATGGGTGAACTTATGGTATGTAAATTATACCCCAATAAAGCTGTTAAAAATTGAGTCACTTTAAGAATGTGATATTTTCTCATAATTTGATAAATTCAAAAGCATATTCAGGTGATACAATTTACAAACAGCTCACTTTCAAGTGAAGATTTTGTTAAATGAAGTTTAAAAGCATTCAGCTTATGTCAACATATTCAAAGAACGACATATATAGTGGACCCAGCATCAACCACAGTTGAGTACTTCAACAATAAAGTATCTCTGAAAAGGAGCATAGGGAAAAGAAAATTCATTCAATCCAAGTTTTATTAAGTGGTATTTTGTTTAATCACTCATTCTGAGCTATTACAATGAATCTATGTCTTTCAATGTATAATTTCATTCATCTTTTAAAAAATTCTAGACAATTATTCATTTAAAAAGTATTTAGGGGCACCTAGATGGCTCAGTCGTTGGGCATCTGCCTTCGGCTCAGGTCATGATCCCAGGGTCCTGGCATCCAGCCCCACATTGGGCTCCCTGCTCCGCGGGGAATCTGCTTCTCCCTCTCCCTCCCTCTGCCCCTCTTCCCACTCGTGTTCTCCCGCTCGCTCTCCTCTCAAAATCCAAAAAAAAATTTTTTTAAGTATTTACTGGGTGTACACTGCACTGTTCTAGGTACTAGAAAAAGACTGAGCAGCAAATAAAGCAAAGTCCTTAACCTCATGGAGGTTATGCTCCAGAAAGAAGTCCACACAGTATGTTAGCAGTCAACAAAGATACGTCAGCTAGTAAAGAAATGATATATTAAGGAGGTAAAGATGGACAGAAATGAGGTGGTAATCTTTTATAAAGGATAGATAGAAAAGGCTTTTCTGGTAAAACGGCATCTAAGCAAAGATAAAATAAGGTAATCAGCTAATCAGCCATTTCAAAATAGGGTGCTTCAGGTAGGGGGAACACAGGTGTAAAGGCCTTGTGGTAGAAGAAAGTTCAGAATGTTGAAGTACTAAAAGATACCTGTTTGGCTGGAATGAAGTGAGCAAGGGGAGTAATTCAGGGGTCTTACCTACAGGCAGGATGACCCAGTACCTCATAATTCAAACCAGGATGCTCTCAATGATAAATTATATAAGGAGCAAGGGGAAGTTATTAATAAATATGCTGACAAAAGACATAAACTAGTTCCTACCCCACTCTCAGATCGATCACTCCACTTAAAAGCTATGGCGAGGATTTTCACTTCTCCTAAGTGAAATGGAACACCTTTGGAGAGTTTGAAAAGAGGGCTGATGTAATTTGTTTCACTTTTTAAAGGGCTCATTCTGGCTGATGTGTGAAAAACAGACAGGTGGAGAAGAGAACTGGGCAAGTACAGAAATTAAGAGACCAGTCAAGAGGCTATTGTAATCACGAGGCAAGTAGCTGGGAGTAGAACAGTAGAAATTAAATATCTGGCCTCAATATCTGAAGATGTTCTATGTACACAGTTTAAGTAAGTATCTATTCAACAAAGGGACTAATTTGCATTAATCAACCGGTAAGTAAGAATAGTATCACCAACTAATGTTTCTTTTTTTTTTTTTTTAAAGATTTCATTTATGTATTTGACAGAGAGAGAGACAGCAAGAGAGGGAACACAAGCAAGGGGAGTGGGAGAGGGAGAAACAGGCTCCCCGCTGAGCAGGGAGCCTGATGCGGGGCTCGATTCCAGGACCCTGGGATCATGACCTGAGCTGAAGGCAGACACTTAAGGACTGAGCCACCCAGGTGCCCCAATGTTTTTATTTCTCATCCTAGATTTCAGAAACAACAATATAAGTTGGCTGACACAAATGGGCAGGTTTTCTTTTATAACAACAAATGCTCTAGTTTATAGGGAAAAGTTCTCGAGAAATAATTACTCTTTAGAGATAAGAGTACCTGGAAGGTTTCAAAAAGATGTGATCTGAACAAGAAAAATGGTAGGACTTGACAATAAGAAAGGGCATTCTAGGTGGGAATGGACTCATGGAAACTGCACATGAAGTATTAAAAATGATGACACACGTTTCCCCACCTTTCTCAGTTAGAAAAAAATTACCAGCAACTAGTAAAAACTATAAAGTCGTCAAAATGCCCTCAAATTTTAATGCCAAAAGTCAAAATTTTAAAGTTTTTTTTTGTCATCAATGTACAAAGGGATAATAAACTCATATAAAGTGAAGATCAAAATGTAAACTAATAAGCATTTTAGTTTCTCTTCAATAAGCCACTATGGATCCTTCTTTCAAAAATGTATTCAGGTAGGGCTGCCTGGGTGGCTCAGTTGGTTAAGTGTCTTCCTTCAGCTCAGATCGTGATCCCAGAGTCCTGGGATCAAGCCCCTCATCGGGCTCCCTGCACAGTGGCAAGTCTGCTTCTCCCTCTCCCTCTGCCCTGCACCCCACGACCCAATGCCCGCTATCTCTCTCAAATAAATAAAATCTTTTAAAAAATGTATTCAACTACTTAACCTACTTATATTTTCAACAGGTATAACCTCTTAGACCTGCGTTTCTGACATGTACCACCCAAAATGATTTTAAAATAAATTCTGTCGTGCATTTAACCTGCGCTTCTAAAGATTTTAATGAAATATTCTAAAATATTCTTAAGCTTTCCTTATTTTTTTTTAGTAGGCTCTATTCCCAACATGGGGCTTGAACTCACAACCCCAATATCAAGACGTCACATGCTCCACAAACTGAGCCAACCAGGCACCCCAGTATTTTTAGCTTTACTTTTAACACCATGACACTATATATAACTTTACTCCGATAAAGTTACAGTTCACGAGTACCTTCTAACCAGTTTCATCTTAAAACACAATGCCCAAACTTGAACTACAAAAGAATTAAGAGTACTAACCTAGTAATTCTCATTCATTTTTATTTTTTATTTATTTTATTTTTTTTAATTTATTTAGTTGACAGAGAGAGACACATTTATTTGACAGAGAGAGAGGGAACACAAGCAGGGAGAGCGGGAGAGGGAGAAGCAGGCTTCCCGCCGAGCAGGGAGCCCGATGTGGGGCTCGATCCCAGGACCCTGGGATCCTGACCTGAGCTGAAGGCAGACGCTTAACGACTGAGCCACCCAGGCACTCCCTCTCATTCATTTTTAAAAGATATTTAATCTATAAAAACTACCTCTGAAAAAAAAACTTCATTAGTTATATATATTTTGTGTATGCTTACCTTTTGGGATTCTTGCTATGTGATCGAGACCTAAAAAAAGAATATCTATTTTTAGAAAAAAAGAACTGAGACAAAGTACAATGTACTGTTAAAATTACACTCTTCCTGATTCCTAATCTTTTTATTAATTCTATAAATATAAGGCACGTATGAATGCACACAAATTTTTCCAAAATACACCATAACTACACAGACTTTCCCACCTTGGCATATGAAATCCCCTAACTAGGATACCTGGCTTTTAAAAAGAATATGCTCCTAGGAGACTATAACATGGTACATCACCACTCACTAATTCTCCAGAAATCAATTCCCAACCTGGGGAAAAGTCTTTGTTATTTCTTTCTTTCTTTTTTTTTTTTTTTTAAGTCTTTGTTTTTTCTATCTCGGTTATTTCTTCTTTCCCTCTGGGAACAGAGAAAATTTTCTATAATCTGAGATGTATTCACTTTTTCTTTTTTTTTTGAGATGTATTCACTTTCAAACTGCAACCTCACACTATAATCCCTAGAACACCCAATTCAATCTTACAACATCTGTTTCTTAAAAAAAGACACATGATTCCCTAGCACACAATTAACACTCAATAGTAATGGCTAATATTATGGGTACTAGAAAACCACAGGTGTCTTTTGTGGGGAATACATAGCACAACTGAAGGATGGCTTTTGACTCAGCCTGATTCAGGTTTTAAAACTCTGGCTGCACCATTATCTGTGACCTGGACAGATTATAAACCTTCTCTAAGCTTTGCCTGTCATTTGCAAAACAAGGACAGTAATAGAAATTTCACAGGAGGATTATAAGGATTAGATGAACTACTGTAGGTAAATTCTTAGCACCGTGCCTGACAGATAATAGGAACTTAGTAAGTGGCAGTGATTTTTATCATTATCCTTTTCAATACCATAGCTGGAATCCCACCTTGCTTAACTCTGTACTTCCTTATGATTTCTTCATCTTTCTTTCTTGGTTATAGTATTTCCTCAAGTTCACAGACAGATTTAAAAAAAATTTAAACACATTTCTGAAATAGCATTACATTTTATAATCAATGTTAAAAGAAATCGGTCAGCTGGCAACAAAGGAGTAAGATGTGATATACTTTGTCATCTATAGACGTGAAAATGTAGTCATGGCAAAGAATTTTTCTTTCTCATTCAACTATCATTTCAGTTGAATCATATGTATCAGTGGCACTACATACAGAATTTTAACAAACTGAGATTTCTAATGCCCCTTATATGGTCTTGTATCAAAATGCTGAGCACGATTCCCATAGAAACTCAGTGTACACAAAAGAGAATAGTGATAAAGCTATGAGATAAAAAATTATGGTAAATGAAGAACATATTTATCAATGGATGATGACAGCATTTCCCCTAAAAAGGTAAAATATCCACATGTACTTATGTTTCATTTTTTCATTACAGTGCAAAAACATTACCTGCTACAAGCCATGTAACACAAAGTTAAACATCTTGAAATAAATATAACATGCTCAAAGCTTGGGGAAAGCTGGCGTGATCAAGTCATATATTATAAAGGGTTTTAATTAGGCACAAAATCTGCTGGAGATAGAATATTTAAATTTCAGAGATATGCAATACAATTAAGGGAACACCATAAATTAGAACTGCAGGTAATTCTTTTGTGGCATACTGTCCATTGTAACGTTCTTAAAAAAGTTATTTACATGAATTCAAATATTGCCACCATGATGCGACACAATTTGTTGCAAATGGGTAAAAGTCACTCAGTACATTTAAGCATCCTAAATATGAAGAATATGGTTTTATGAACGAATTAATACCAATATAAAAAGAACTGCATACATTTGGCTATTATTTATACAATTTTAATAGTTTATACCTCCTAGAATTGAGGAATTACAGAATCAAAGTATGATGTAAAATAATTTTTTTTAAGATTTTATTTTTTTAAATCATCTTTACACCCAATGTGGGGATCCAACTCACAGCCTTGAGATTAAGAGCCATATATCTACCAACTAAAACAGCCAGGTACCGCAAAACTCAAACCTTTGTCAAGAATAAAGTATATCACAAAAGTGAAAATAGTTTGATACCAATCTGGTACAAATCTAGCCATTATGAAAATCAGAGGGCTAGAAAAGCTTTGTAGTCAATCTTACAAAAAATAAGGATGTGACTATTTACCCTTCCACACATTTTGAAGGAAATCACCTTGACTTAAATGGCCGTAACTTAACATATTTGTATAAACACTTTCACATGGTAATATTTTCAAAAGTAAACAGAAATCTCCCATGTCTAGATTAACACCTAAAATCCTGTATCAATCACATCTCTTTTTAGAGCCAGGGACCTTCAACTTCACATACTTGGGACTATTCAATTAATCACTCCATACCTCCTCAGCTTCTCTCTTTCTTCTCTCTCCCTTTCTTCTCTTCGTTTCAGGCGTTCCTGATTTCTTTTCTCCTGTTTCTCAGCTACAACTCTCTTAAAAGACAATGACAAGTCAAACAATAAAAAATGAGGAGCATTATTTATTGGGTTCATTCTTAACAAGAATTACCCTAAACTCTACTGTATCTGGTTCCCAATACAGTATAAGTAACATCAAAATCTGTTTAATAACAATTAAAAGTTTTGCTGGGTAAAATCATTAAGCTTACAAGTCTAGTCTCCAAAAATCTTTCCCCCTTCTGGGGAACATTTGTAGCATTTTGTATTTCTTCATGACTTAATACTTCAAAATCATTTCTACAAGATTTTTCTCCTATGAATGTTTTCTAACATTATTTTGTATTTTTTCAAGTTTTTTTTTTTAGTAATCTAATCTCTACACCCAACATGGGGCTCCAACTCACGACCCTGAGATCAAGAGGCACACGCTCTACCAACTGAGCCAAGAAGGTGCACATATTTTGTATTTTTTTAAATGACATTAAGCATTATAAATCGCTACAAGTTCCTATTCCCTAACTTCCAAAATAAAAATGTCTTCTGTCATTTCCAATTCCCATCCCAATTCTGTTGCTTCAAAAAATACCAGTAAGACACTAAACAGTCCTGTTGCTAGGTCTATTAACTGCGAAGATTCCCAAATAGGTACTATTTTTGAGTTTTAATTCAGAGCCTAGTAACCATTTGATAAGGTGAAACTTACTTTTGTCATTTTAAATAAAAACTTACCAAAAATCATGCCAGCTACTCAGAATGCTTAGAAGAGCTCACTGTTAATTACAAATATGGGTATGTCCCTAAGTGTATCTGACTCATTATTTTAAAGGTCAAACTACAAAACCTGGGTTAATTTCACTATCCAGTGTTTGCCATCTTTGAGCCATTCTTCCATTCATGACAAAATGCTACAGTGCCACAATTTTTAAAAAAACTAGCCACATCAGATTGTTGGAAAGTAAACTGATTATATCCATTTACTCTGATTTTGCTTACATCTTTAGAAATACCCTATGTTGTTTCCGTATCTTCTCAAAAGAATTCTGCACGAGTAAGAACTGTATTGCCTTCCTCACAATAGCCATATACGTGACAGTAACTGTCCTTTTTTTAAAGATAGGTTTCATTCTAATTCCTTGCTGAAATGGGAGCAGGAACATAAAGTAAAACTAGAGGTCCTACAAGCTTGCTATTTAGTGAAGAATTGCAAAATATTTCAAATAAATACTAGTCTCATTTTCTCAATCTTCCTTTAAAGTAAATATTATAGGGGCGCCTGGGTGGCTCAGTCGTTAAGCGTCTGCCTTCGGCTCAGGTCATGATCCCAGGGTCCTGGGATTGAGCCCCGCATCAGGCTCCCTCCTCCGTGGAAAGCCTGCTTCTCCTTCTCCCACTCCCCCTGCTTGTGTTCCTGCTTTCGCTCTCTCTCTCTGTGTCAAATAAATAAATAAAATCTTTAAAAAATAAAATAAATATTAAATATTATATTGTTAATTTTATTTCAAAGAAAATAAAAATATGGGGGGAATTTATATGAAAGAATTAGTTTAGAACCCAGTTTGCCAGACTCCTAATTCAATGTCATTATTTAACACAAAATATTACCTCCCAGAATAAGAGGACATTATTTAAAAGTCTGTTTCTCAGACATCATCCATTAAACCAGTTGTTATATCCATTTATAATCTTACACTTTTCGGTATGAGTTCTTAGCAGACTCATAGTCAAGAACCTTATATAAAAAGATAACTAATACACATCAAAACAATGGATGGCTAAATTAGATAAAGCATATGACATTAATTTACCAATGTACCTTTAATTCTTCAAGCTTCTCTCTTATTTCAATAAATCCCAGGTGCAGTTTACCCCCAAAATGATCAGCCAGTCGTCTATCATTATCATGAAGACCTAAATAGGCAGAGCAGACTTCACAGACTCGAAGTTTCTGTTGTTGGAAACTGGAAGCTGGCATAGAATTCCGATAAACTTCCTGAACAAAAGTGAGAAAAACAATGTTCATATAAACCTGAGTCCATACCATTACACAAAATACATTATGTTTACACAAAAAAATCTTTTCTAATGAATAACAAAAGTATGGCTATTTTTGTCACAAAAACGATGGGTTCTCCTCATATTCCCATCCTCTCTGTCCTTGGGATCTCTTCCACTGGAGGTAAAAGATCAGAGACTCAACTGCACTTTGCCAAGAACTATTATAAGAATTCTACCATGATAGGGGCACCTGAGTGGCTCAGTCGTTAAGCGTCTGCCTTCGACTCAGGTCATGATCCCAGCGTCCTGGGATTGAGCCCCGCATCGGGCTCCCTGCTCAGCAGGAAGCCTGCTTCTCCCTCTACCAGTCCCCCTGCTTGTGTTCCCTCTCTCGTTATGTCTCTGTCAAATAAATAAATAAAATCTTTAAAAAAAAAAAAGAATTCTACCATAATAGAGAATATGACTTTTGGAAAAAGTTTTCTCAGTATTCTACAATGCTTTGTTTTCTACAATTTTTGTTAAAAATGAGATGTAGCAACCCAAAACTATGTATCAGTGAAGGACCAAGGAAGAAGTCATCCACCCTAGCAGAGAAAGAATACATGTCTTCAACACTGTTAGTTTCCTTCCAGTGCCTTCTTTCCCACAGATCATTTTCTCCCCCTTTGGAAAAATGTGGACAGGGCATATAAATGATAAGACTTTCCACTAAGAGGGGGGCACCTGGGTGGCTCAGTTGTTAAGTATCTGCCTTCAGCTCAAGTCATGATCCCAGCCCCCACATCGGGCTCCCTGCTCAGCTGGAAGCCTTCTTCTCCCTCTCCCACTCTCCCTGCTTGTGTTCCCTCTCTTGCTATCTCTCTCTCTCTCTGTCAAAAAAAAAACAAAAAAAAACAAAAAACTTTATATAGAAGTGGAATAGTTCTATAACACAAGCAATGAAAGGTGCCTTAATGAGATAAAGAAATCTTACATGCAACCATTTTAAGTTCATTAATGAAATAATAAGTATTAGTGGATTTGTGTATCCACTGTACCCTTTTTTTTTTTTCCTCTCAAGGCCAGCAGCATGCCCAGCTAGAAGACATTACATTCCCAAGCCTCCACAGAGCTTTGGCTAAGGAGATACTCAAGTGGATATTGTTGGATGGAATCCATAGAAAAGTCCTTTCAAAGGGAGTCAATAGACTGAGACCCCCCCCCCCCCAAAAAAAAAGGCTGCCATCACCTGTGGACTAGAAAGTGATGGGAAACAATATTTACAGTTTCAAAAATGTCAATACCAAGATACTTATTACAAAAAGAAAGTACTGTAACTTCACAGTGGAAAAAGAGGCCAATCACCAGAAATGGGACAAATCACTAACATGTGACTTCGGAGGAAATATAACATTACTTCAATGGTACTGTCAAAAATCTAACCAGGAAGAAAAACCAGACAAACCCAAACTGAAGGACATTTTACAAAATAACTAGCCTATACTTTTCAAAACTGTCAAGATCATGTCAGACAAAGACTGAAGTTCCAGATTAAAGGAGCCTAGTGGGACATTAACAGCTAAATGCAGCACATGATCCTGAACTGGGTCTTTAAACAAAGAAAAATTTTCTAGTAAAAATAAACATTATTGTGACAATTGGAAAAATCTGCATAAAGTCTTCAGATTCATTAATAGTACTGTATCAGTGTTAATTTCTGATTCAGATCACTCTACTACAGTTATGTAATAGAATATCCTTGTCTTTAGAAAATACACACTGTAGTATTGGGGGATAAAGAGACATCATATCTATAACTTAATGCCAAACAGTTCAAATACACACACACACACACACACACACGAGGAGAAAGACAAAGCAAATATGATAAAATGTTAACATCTGGGTGAAGGATATAGGGGAATTCCTTATACTATTTCTTAAACTTTTCTGAAGATATCTCAAAATAAAAGTTTTTAAAAAAGAGAAACAGGGGTGTCTGGGTGGTTCAGTAGGTTAAGCACCTGCCTTTGGCTTAGGTCATGAACACGGTGTCGTGGGATCAGCCTCACTGGCTCCCTACTCAACGAGGAATCTGCTTCTGCTTCTCCCACTCCCTCTGCCCACCCCCGACCCCAGCTCATGCTCTCTCGTGAGCTCTCTCTCAAATAAATAAAATCTTAAAAAAAAGAAAAAGAAAAAAGAAAAATATATGACACTAGGAGGCAAGTCAACTCAATTTTTGTGCCTTGTTACTCTTCTTCCTCTTTCTAGTTATGTAGAGAGAAAAGGCTTCAGGCATGGTAGCTGTACTGCCAACATAAACTGATAAGCATAAAGATGAATCCATGTAGTAAGGATGGCTGAACATAAAGCCAGAAATAGCCTGTGTGCTTGATGGAATCAAGGAGGCTGCTGTACCAGCCCCAGACTCCCTAATCACAATTATTTAATAAATGAGAAAAACAAAACCCTTTCTTGGTTAAGCCATTATAAGTTTTCTACTATGTGCAGCTGAACACAATCTATAATGAGCAAGTAAATTTTTTTTTTTAAAGATTTTATTTATTTGAAAGAGAGTGAGAGAGAGAGCACAAGAGGGGTGAGCGGGAGAGGGAGAAGCAGACTCCCTGCTGAGCAGGGAGCCCGATGCGGGACTCGATCCCGGGACTCCAGGATCATGACCTGAGCTGAAGGCAGTTGCTTAACCAACTGAGCCACCTAGGCGCCCGAGCAAGTAAATTTTTTAATGCACTGTTCCTAGTAAAAATCAACTGATAATAAAACATAACATGCTAAAGATGTTAAGCCACTGTGTGCTAGGAGAAAATCTTCAAATACATATATATAAAATGTCATGAAAACTTCAAAATATGCAAGTAATAATGCTTACTAAGGTTCATTACTTGAGTCTTTTGGGGAAATGAGCTATAAAATATTCTGCATTTTAAAATTCATAGTGTTTAGGGGCACCTGGATGGCTTAGTTGGTTAAGTATCTGCCTCCGGCTCAGGTCATGATCCCAGGATCGAGCCCACATTGGGCTCCCTACTCGGCAAGGAGCCTGCTTCTCTCTCTCCCTTTGCTCCCTACTCATGCTCTCTCTCTCCAGTGTTTTCTCTAAGTAAAATCTTAAAAAAAATTTTTTAAAAATTCATAGTGTTTTATTTTCTGGAATGATTTTAATGACATTTAAAGAAATCCTAAGTATTTTAAGACTTTAAAATTAACAAGAATGGCTACATGGTTTATCTTTTCCCATCCTATTACTTTTTATCTCTCTTTATATTTAAAGTAGATTTCTTGTAGCTAGCATATAGTTAAGTCTTGCTTTTATTTTATTTTATTATTATTATTTTTTTAAGATTTTATTTATTTATTTGAGAGAGAGAGAATGAGAGACAGAGAGCACGAGAGGGAAGAGGGTCAGAGTGAGAAGCAGACCCCCTGCTGAGCAGGGAGCCCGATGCGGGACTCGATCCCGGGACTCCAGGATCATGACCCGAGCCGAAGGCAGTCGCTTAACCGACTGAGCCACCCAGGCGCCCCTTATTTTATTTTTTTAAGACCTGAGCAGAAAGCGCTTAACAGACTGAGTCACCCAGGTGCAACTAAGTCTTGCTTAAAAAAAACACACAAAAAAAAAACTAGTCTCACAACCTCTGCCTTTTAATTGGAATGTTTAGACCATTTACATTTAATGTAATTACTAGTACACTGGGTTTAAGTCTACCACAATTAGAGATGGAGACTTTAATACTCCTCTCAGTAAATAGAACAGAAAATCAATAGGATATGGAAAACTTTAATAATCAATCAACTATCTTGACTCAATTAACATGTACGAACACTCCATTTAATAAGGCAGAGTATCATTCTTTTCAAATATACATGGAACATTCACCAAGACCACATTCAGGGTACAAAATAAGTACTGATATATCTAAGAGACCTGAAATCACACAAATGTTCTCTCACTACAACAGAACTAAAAAACAAAAATATTTAGAAAAACAACACATATACAAAAACATATTCCTAAATAACCCATAGATCAAAGAAGAAAGCACAAGCAATATTGGCAAATATTTGAAATGAATGAAAATAAAAACAATATATGAAATTCTGGGGGATGCAGCTACAGTTGTGCCTAGAAGAAAATCTGTAGCATCAAATGGGCTAAAATCAATTATCTAGGCTTCTATTTTAAGACGGCAGAATAAGAACAAATTAAACTGAGGTGTGTTAAAGAGCAATGGAGACTATGGCAAAATGAAAGAATTCAACCCCCTGTGGATAAACCCCAATTTTCTAAAAAAACATGAAGTGGCAAACAAAATAGAACTTTGCAGGATATGAGATTTTGACCTGTGCTATGGAGAAAGAATGAGAGGAGGAGGCTCCCAAAGTACTAGCAGACTGTACTGAGATGAGAAGAGAAGGGAGAATGCTATGGTCACAGGGTGGTAAAGTCAAGGGAGGGAGGGTATCATAGGAACTGCATTTATGCATTCTGTATGTGACGACTGTTGTGTATGACTAGCTAGTTTAATTTCATTTCCTAGTTATAAACTTCAACAGATCATAGCCTCTAAAGTAATAACAAAAAACCCCACAACTTTGATACATAATCCATTACTATGATATGGACTAACTAAATTTTTTAAATGGTTTAAATTGCCTGTACTAGCAATAACTTTCAATAATTTCCAATCAAATAGGTTTTGACAGTAAGGCTGTACATATTACCATTAAAAATTGTATTACCTCTGCTTCTCTTTTCTTTGCCCGTGCTTTCTCTACTTCATCCATTACTTTCTGGGATTCTTCCACATTTCCTTCAGCTCCTAGTTGTTCCACCTTGGCCAACAACTTACCAATTTCTTCATTTAACTCGTGAACACGTTCTGCCTAGAAATAAACAGAAAAGAAGATCATGAATAAAAAGCAGAATAAATTATCAGAGTTCAAAATATTTCATAAATGCTCAGGGAAGACTTATCTAAGGCAATATGAGTATAAATAATGCTTTCTGAGCATATCATAAATGAACTGGTGGGATATGAGGATGTTTTGAGCCTATCTGCCCTCACTGCAGTGAGGTCAGGAATACAACTGATCTCAATTTAACTATTACTTTACAACCTCTGCTTTGGCAGTGTATTCCAAGTATAAAATACCGTTTACCACGATCTGCCCCTACGTACCTTTCCAAACCATCTCTTGCTGTTCCCCCACGTCACAACACAATCTATAGTTATATCTAGTTTCCCAAATTTACTCTTGTTTTCTGCCTCTGTGACTTTGCAGAAGGATGTCATCCCTCTTTCTCAGACACCTTCCCTTACCTCCCCTTGTCTGAACTCATATATGTCGATTCATTCAACAAGATTCAACTATCCTGTGAAATATTCTTGATCAATCACATCTCACCCCCACTCAAACATAAGCAGAGAGCCAAACCTTCCTTTATGCCATCTTTTTATGTTTCATGACGCTCTTAAGTACATATCATACTTTTACACATATACTTTTGTACATATATATACTTATGTATATACTTTTAGATACATATCACACCACCTTAAAGAAAGCTATTTATATTTCCCATCTATGTATTTCCAATGCCCAACAAATAGCATAGGCTCAAACAGGAGATAAAGAAATGAACTGGTATGGTGCCTGGGTGGCTCGGTTGGTTAAGCGACTGCCTTCGGCCCAGGTCATGATCCCAGAGTCCTGGGATCAAGTCCTGCATTGGGCTCCCTGCTGGGCAGGGAGTCTGCTTTTCCCTATGAACCCTATCCCCTCTGTGTGCTCTCTCTCAAATAAATAAAATAAATCTAAAAAAAAAAAAAAAAAGAAATGAACTGGCAGATACTCTTTAAGATAAATATATGACTTTAGAGTCCAAAAGGTCTGGCTTATTGCCAAACCAATTACCAGCTATGTAATTTTGACCACATTACTTAACCTGAATCCATTACCTCACCAAAGAAGTGGGAATAATACCTATCTCATAAAGTGAGAAATGAGAAACTGTGCCTTGCACATACACTGCACAGCACATTACTGATTTTCAGTATACAACCATAACACTCTGTGTCCCTTAGCCTTAGTTCATGTCTTTCCCCTGGGATAAATTCTTGCCTTGGGAATCTGTGTCGTCCTCCTCTTCGTCAGTCATCCTGAGAATATAGCTCATGCCTATTGTTTTAATGGCATATGATACCTATACAGTCTTTATATTGGCCACAAAGTAAGTATTCAGGCTGTGTGGCCAATTATATTAGCAAAGAAGATTTTAATTTGTTATGGACATCCAGTCCCAACAAACTGGTGTGCCAATAACTTTTACTTCTCAAATGTCCTTCAATCCAAAATATTTATCCCTCAAAGAAATTTTCAATTCTATTATCATTTTCTTACCTCTTAAACAAAGTGGTATTTTTTTTTCAGTATCTGTCACAGAATGATTGGATTATGCTTTAAACTCTTCACCTTTCACTGTATCCATCTCTTTGCTATATAATTAGTAACATCATATTTTGATTCTGAATTTGGCCACGTAACTGGCTTTAATTAATAGGACAGTAGCAAACATGACAGAAAGGAAGGCTTAAAAAGCACTTGTATGACATTTTTTGTACCTCTTCCACTACCCTAAGAACACAGCCAGACTAGCATTCTGCGTTCAACAGCCTCTGACTGACCAGAAGACATGTGAGCGAGCCCAGCTGAGACAGGAATAACTTCCCAGTCAAGTTCAGCCTTATCATTACCTGAAGACTCATGGGCTAAAATACTGTTTTAAGTCACTGAGTTTTGAGGTAATTTGTTAAACAGCATTTTTACAGTGATAGATAACCAATAAAATGCCATATAAACCAAGATAGCACTTGTGGATCTTTTTCAACCATAACATTAGGTCCCTGCACTTTAGGATCCCATCTTTAGAGAACATTTCAGAAAAAGTTAATTAAAAATAACCTTTTCTGTGCTCGCTTCAGCAGCACATATACTAAAAATAACCGTTTTCTCAGGGCACCTGGCTGGCTAAGTCAGTAGAGCATGCAACTCTTGATCTCCGGGTTGTGAGTTCGAGCCCCACATTGCGTGTAGAGATTACTTAAAACAAACAAAAAAACAAAAAAACCTTTCCTCAAACAAAGGAATCCATTTCCCTCTGTACATCCATCTCTGAGAACTGTATTTAATGCTGTCAATCAAACTCTATCTGGGTAAACTCTGTCTCCATTCTGCATTTTCATAAAATGTACAAACTATACTGAACAGCACAAATGTTTCAAAGTATTAAGTCATCAAATCAACAAAATGCACTATATGGACTTTAATTTTAAGATTCTGATTAGAGGGCGCCTGGGTGGCTCAGTTGGTTAAGCGACTGCCTTCAGCTCAGGTCATGATCCCAGGGTCCTGGGATTGAGTCCCACATCGGGCTCCCTGCTCTGCGGGGAGCCTGCTTCTCCCTCTCCCACTCCCCCTGCTTGTGTTCCCTCTCTCGCTGTGTCTCTCTCTGTCAAATAAATAAATAAAATCTTTAAAAAAAAAAAAAAAAAGATTCTGATTAGAACAAACCAACTCTATATAGGAAAAATGAACACATTCAGGATATTAGATAATATTAAAAAATTGTTAACTTTATGGATGTGGATTTTTATGGTTATATTTTAGAGATGAAATGATGTGACATCTGGAATTTGCTTTTAAAATAATAAAACAGGGGTGCCTGGGTGGCTCAGCTGGTTAAGCGTCTGCCTTCAGCTCAGGTCATGATCTCAGGGTCCTGGGATCCAGCCCCATATTGGGCTCCTTGCTCAGTGGGGAGTCTGCTTCTCCCTCTCCCTCTGCCCCATCCCCTGCTCCATTTCTCTCTCTCTAATAAATGAAATCTTTAAATAAATAAAACAATGAAACAAGAGCAAAAAACTGACTATGAATCCATTGGGATTTATTGTACTTTTCGTTCTAGTTTTTATTTGTATTTTTAAAGTTTATTTATTTATTTAATAAGTAATCTCTATACCCAATGTGGGGCTCGAACTCACAACCCAGAGATCAAGAGTTGCATGCTCTACTGACTTTGCCAGCCAGGCACCCCTTTTTCCATCCTTTGCATGTAAATTCACATTAAAAAAAAATTTTTTTTTTTTTTTTTATGTAGGCTCCACACCCAGCATGGAGCCCAACGCGGGGCTTGAACTCAGGACCCTGAGAGATCAAGAGTTGGATGCTTAACTAACCTGGGCCACCCAGGTGCTCCTACAACAAAGTATTTTTTAAAAGTGGGGGGTAAAACAGAATATCTAAAGAACACTCAAAACTCAACATTAAAAAAAATGAGCAGTCCATTTGGAAAATGGGTTTACAGACAATTCACTAAAGAGGTACATAAATGGCAAACACATGAAAAAAATGTTCAGCATCATTAGGCATTAGGGAAATGCAAACTGAAAACAAGAAATATCACTACGCACATCTAAGAATGGCTAAAATGAAAATTAGTGACACCACCAAATGTTGGCACAGATGTGAAGAAACCAAATCACTAACACATTGCTGGTAGAGTGCAAACTGGTACAGCTGCTGTAGAAAAAAGTTTTGACACCTGCTTTCAAAACTAAAAATGGACTTACCATATGACCACATGACCCAGAAATTGCATTCTTGGGCATTTATCCCAGAGAAATGAAATGTTTATTGCAGTTTTACTGGTGTTAACCAGTAACTGCAAACAATCCAAACATCTTTCAATGTGTGGCTAAATTGTGGTATATCCGTACCATGGAATACTGCTCAAAAAGAAATGAACTACTGATATACGCAGCAACTTGTATGAATCAAGGAACCTGTGCTGAGTGAAAAGAACCAGTCTCAAAAGGTTACATGATTCCGTTTATGTCATATTCAGTAAAGTAACATAATTATCGAGCTGGAAAATACAGTAGTTGCCAGAAGATAGCGGAAAGGGGGAATAGATGTGGCTATAGAGAGGTAAGATGAGGGAGTCTCATGGTGATGCTACAGTGAACTAATTTAATTATGGTGGTAGTTACCCAAGTTCCTTACACATGTGATAAAACTGCACAAAACTACATACATACACACACACACACACACACACAAAGTGCACACATAACTGGTAAAATCTGAGTAAAATTTCAAGATTGGACCAGTATCAATTTCTTGGCTTTGACAGTGTACTACAGTTGTATAAAATGTGAACAATAGGGGAGGCTAAAGGGAGTTCAGAGAATTCCCTATTTATGTCTTTGCAATCTGTGGATGTAATTTTTTTTTTTTTTTTAAAGATTTTATTTATTTGACAGAGAGAGACACAGCAAGAGAGGGAACACAAGCAGGGAGAGTGGGAGAGGGAGAAGCAGGCTTCCTGCTGAGCAGGGAGCCCAATGCGGGGCTCGATCCCAGGACCCTGGGATCACGACCTGAGCCGAAGGCAGACGCTTAACCATCTGAGCCACCCAGGCGCCCCTGTGGATGATATTATTTCAAAATAAAAAGTTAAAATTAGTGAACTGAAATGGTATTTTGTAGTACTAATGAAATAACTGAAATTCTTACCTTTGCTGCCACTTCAGCACTAATCTCTTCTTGAGTTTCTGCTAATCTTTTCTTAGCCACTTCTGTTCTTCGATCACAATCTGCAATGAATGACTGAAGATGATCCATAGCCTGCAAAGTTTAATTGAAAGACAATTACACCAGAAAAATCAACTATATTCAGGAATATCTTAACTCAAAATATACATAATTTTCTTATTTTTTAAAGTAGGCTCCACACCCAGTGTGGAGCCCAATGCAAGGCCTGAACTCACAACCCTCAGATCAAGACCTGAGCTGAGATCAAGGGCCAGACACTTAACCAACAAAGCCACCCAGGTGCCCCTATACCTTATTTTTAAAAATGCTAATAGGGGGGCACCTGGGTGGCTCAGTTGTTAAGCATCTGCCTTCGGCTCAGGTCATGATCCCAGGGTCCTGGGATCGAGCCCTGCATCAGGTTCCCTGCTCAGCGGGAAGCCTGCTTCTCCCTCTCCCACTCCTACTGTTTGTGTTCCCTCTCGCACTGTTTCTCTCTCTCTCTGTTAATTAAATAAATAAAATCTTTAAAAAATAAATAAAAATGCTAATAGGGTAGTAAAAAAAGTAACAAAAGCAGGTTCAATTATGAATCAAAAATTCTACTCATCAAATTGGTAAAGAGTAAACATAAATAATCCACAGGAAAGGTAAAACTATAAGGAAATTACCATTCTCATACTCTGCTGAAGAAACCACAAATCAGTGCAGTGTTTAAAAAAGGCTATGTGGGGCGCCTGGGTGGCTCAGTTGGTTGAGCAACTGCCTTCGGCTCAGGTCATGATCCTGGAGTCCCGGGATCGAGTCCCGCATCGGGCTCCCTGCTCGGCAGGGAGTCTGCTTCTCCCTCTGATACTCCCCCTCTCATGCTCTCTGTCTCCCATTCTCTCTCTCAGATAGATAAAAAATCTTTAAAAAATAAAAAAGGCAATGTGGTAACTGGTATCAAAAAGACTTAAAAATGTCCCGACTTCATAATTTTACTTCCAGAAATGCCTTTTAAGAAAGCAATCAGGGGCGCCTGGGTGGCTCAGTTGGTTAAGCGACTGCCTTCGGCTCAGGTCATGATCCTAGAGTCCCAGGATCGAGTTCCGTATCGGGCTCCCTGCTCGGCAGGGAGTCTGCTTCTCCCTCTGACCCTAACCCCTCTCATGTGCTCTCTCTCATTCTCTGTCTTAAATAAATAAATAAAATATTAAAAAAAAAAAAAAAGAAAGAAAGCAATCACATATACAGAAGGTTGAATATTCAAGGATGTTCCTCACAGTGTTATTTTTATGGTGTAAAGTTGTAAATACCCTAAGTAATGTACAAATTTTGATCTTCAGCCATTAAAAAAGGTTTTAATAGAATACTTAATGATACAAGAAAATGTTATTTGTAAATAAAAAGCATGTTACATAGTATCATAGGCCATAAAAATCCCAATTTTCTAAAATAAAGCAGAGGAAAAAAAGGAAGAGCATACATGAAATTTTAGCAGTAATTCTTTTTGAATATATGGATATTTTTTAATAATTTGTTTTTCCATGCTTCTCAAATTTTCCACAATGAAAATGTTACAATCAGGAAAACTTGATCTCTTTTCAAAGAATAAACCAGTCAGAATTTTAGCAATGTCTACATTGTAAAAATTCAGTTCATAATTATATTAATGACATTTGTCAGGCATATATTAGTATGTCTGTAATTAAGTAGTAATTCATTTAAAACTAAACTTTTAAGATTTATTCCCAAGTTAAGCAATTTGGACTTTCATATCTTACTATACAGAAATAGAGTGAATTTAAAATACAAATGTTTAATTAAAAATATAAATTTATTCAGCACATAGCAAATTCTGAGAATTTCTTGAAAGTGAAAAGAAACAGGCTCATTTAAAAGCTCTTAGCTGTGATGACAAATAAATAGCTATTTAGGGGCACCTGGGTGGCTCTGGCCACTGGCTCAGGCATCTGCCTTCCACTCAGGTCATGATACCGGAGGGTCCTAGGATTGAGCCCTGTATCGGGCTCCCTGCTCAGCAGGAAAGTCTGCTTCTCCTTCCCCCTCTGCATTCCCCCGCCTCCCCTCCACTTGTGTGTGCATGCAGGTATGTGCACGCGCTCTCTCAAATAAATAAAAATCTTAAAAAAAAAAAAAAAAGATAGCTTTTTAGCTCTTTTAATTTAAAATTCATCTTTAAATTCACAAGATTTCTCTATTAAAACTTCCTTATGGGAACATAAAAGTGGCATCTCAAAGCAGTGAGAAGAAAAAGATGTACTAATCAGTAGTGCTGGGTCAACTAAGTAGCTATCTGGTGAAAAATAAAGCTAAATCTATACCTCAATTTCTTAGACCAGCATAAATTTAACTTGGTTCAAAGATCTAAGTGTATAAAATAAAGCCATAAAAAATACCAGAAGAAACCATGAGAGAACTCTTATCACCTCAGAATAGGGAAGACCCTTTTGAATTAACCCATTAGAAATTTTTAAAGCATTGATAAGTGAGACAACTATACAAATATTCTGCAAGGCCCAAACCACTAAAAGAAAAATGGTAAAATATGGAAAATCACCCAAATATCCATATCCCTACATTCAGATGATGGTTTCTGCCCAGAATATATCAAATCAAAATCTAATTAATTTTTCTCCAACTGTTCCAGCCCCATATTAAATTATGTTTACATAGATGATTTTCACTTTTTTGTTTTGTTTTGTTTTTTGACAGAGAGAGAGAGAATGTGCAGGGGCAGGGAGAGAATGAGAGGGAGAGAGAATCTTAAGCAGGCTACACGCCCAGCACAGAGCCCAATGCAGGACCTGATCTCACAACCCTGAGATCATGACCTGAGCTGAAACCAAGTCGGATGCTTAACTGACTGAGCCACCCAGGCACTCCTGATTTTCATTTCTATTAGCAGAAATTCTTAGAAGTAAATGGAGGTGCCTATTGAGTGCTTTATCTTCCAAACCAAGTAAAATACCTATTATACCTTACTGTAAAAAGTATCATAAGATGTGTGCTCATCAGTATCTTTTATGTAAAGCTAACTGGTATGTTTTATATAAATATAAAAAAAGCTTCCCTATTTTTATAACAAACAATTCTGTTTGTATAAACAACAAATCAGATCTTGAGCCTTTAAGGTACGTAAATGGTACCTTCTACTCTAATATTTCTTCCATTAGTTTTACATAAAAAAGTTACTTAATATCCTCTCTCTCCCTCTCTCTCTATATATATTCACAGATACAAAAATAAAAATAATTTAAAAATTCAGTAGATTATTAAAGGGCCTTAAATACATCAGAAATTTGTTGTTTACATGTGCTTAAATTGAGGTTTCCTTAATCATCACAACTTTACTGGAACAGTTTTTCAAAAGAATATATGCATTGCACAGATTTTTACACATTTTCTTAAAATACCTAGTTTCACCTTATATTTTTTAAAAAAATGTTGTTAGTCAAGAAAATACATGATTTTACTTTAGTACTATTTTTCATATAAACACAAAGAAGATAATTTGCTAAGAGCCTTTTCCTATAAAGATATTAACCCATATTCAAAATGTTTTACTACAAAAAAACCCATTAAAGCAAAATCACATACATCAAGTTCAAAGAAAAAATCTTGTTCTTTGGATGCAATTTCATAATCTGCTCTTAAAGCCAGGTCATGAACTTTCAGACATTCTCCAAGATCCATTCTCTGGGGGGGGGGGGGAGAAAAAAAAAACGTATTACTGAAACAGTAAACACATTTTTCAAAAATTCATTAACAAACACAGTTCTCTTCAAAATACATATTAAGTCTTACAGATGCTTCTTTATTTATGGACTTTCAAATTACAAAATTTCATAGACAAGTATAAAACTTGGTACCAGAAAAAAATCCACATCAATTCTACCAACAGATGGGAACAGTGATTACTTTTGTACTTAAGAACAAACAGACAAGGAAAACTATAAAAATCTGAAAAAACTTCTAGCTTCTGTATCAAAACAAATTTCACTTGGCCCATTAACACAGAAAAGACAACGTTAGTTTAAAATTAAGCTAAAAGAGTATGTAAATAAAATTGCAGATTATAGTCAATACTCTTGGAAGAACATTCTGATTTTTTTAAGATTTTATTTATTTATTTGACAGACAGAAATAGCGAGCGCAGGAACACAAGCAGGGGGAGTGGGAGAGGGAGAAGCAGGCTCCCCGCAGAGCAGGGAGCCCGATGCGGGACTTGATCCCAGGACCCTAGGATCCTGACCTGAGCTGAAGGCAGACGCTTAATGACTGAGCCACCCGGGCTCCCAGAACATTCTGATTTTCAAATAAAGATGGAGTCCTCAAACATTAGACCAGTAACCTTGATAAGGATTCCAGACAAGACTCTAGGTGAACTAATAAAAAGAAATTTATTAAGACTCGATATAACTTCACAAAAAACAAGTATCAAATCCTATTTACAAGCATGTATCAGGGAAATAAAACATACTCCCATTGAACCTAGGATCCTCCTACTTAGAATTCTAATTAGACATTATTTACCCAACCAGAGGTTTTCCCTTGAGACAAAAATTCCTAAAAATCTGCCCATTTTTACATGTTATCTGGGCAACTGATAAAATCTTTCAAGAAATCCTTTAGTGGGAAAATTGAAGGGAAAAAATTGGGCTGGATGCAAAGATATTTACAGATGTGATTAATGGATGATCCAAGTAAAACAGGTTTTCCAATTGGAAATATGCTATCCTATCAATAGAATGTCTCAGAATTGCTTAATGGTTGGTAAAAAGAGAATACAATAATTTGAAAAGGTATAGTAAATACTGCCATTGGTTTTGTTACACAAACTATGCATAAAGTTAAAGTACGACAAACATTATAGTAGTAAAGTCATTCCTTCAATTAACTGTGTACCCACTTGTGCCAAGCACTATGCTAGGTGCTAGGGACACAGAGCTAACTGTCACAGATACATACAGTCTCTGACCTCATGGAGCTGACATTCAGAAGAGGGGAAACAAATAATTAACCATAATTGTGTCTCTGAATACAGTTAAGAGGTTTAATAAAATAGTAATGCTCCCATTACAATGAGAGGCTGCTTGGTGATCAGAGAAGGTCTTTCTGAAGAGGATATATTTAAACTGGATTTAAAATGTATGAGGAAGCAAACTAACCTTAGGAAAAGTTAAGAAAAGAATGCTTGAGGTTTTTTTTTTTTTTAAAGATTTTATTTATTTGACAGAGAGAGACACACGGCGAGAGAGGGAACACAAGCAGGGGGAGTGGGAGAGGGAGAAGCAGGCTTCCCTCTGAGCAGGGAGCCCGATGCGGGGCTCGATCCCAGGACCCTGGGATCATGACCTGCCTGAGCCGAAGGCTCTTAATGACTGAGCCATCCAGGCGCCCCCCGAATGCTTGAGGTTTTACAGAAGATTTAGGAGGTAGATCTTAAAAAAAAAAAAAAAAAAAAAATTGCCAGGGTCAAGCAGAGGGATGTTTCTAGCAGCAAGAAACAGACTAGAACAATCACTGGCACAGAAGTCTGGGCCTTAAGCATATTTTATATATAAGTACCTAGAAATGACTCTGTCTTAACTTTTTCGCCAACAACCTGGATATAACAAAGGATATGAACGTCTATTTTATAGCACAATATCCCAAGCTAAAAAAATAGTGAATTCACTGGATTAAGACTCAAAAGAACTTGGGCACCTGGGTGGCTCAGTCGTTAAGTGTCTGCCTTCGGCTCAGGTCATGATCCCAGACTCCTGGGATCGAGTCCCACATCGGGCTCCCTGTTCGGCAGGAGGCCTGCTTCTCCCTCTCCCACTCCCCCTGCGTGTGTTCCTGCTCTCGCTGTCTGTCAAATAAATAAAATCTTAAAAAAAAAAAAAAAAAAAAACTCAAAAGAACTGCGGCACCTGGTTGGCTTAGTTAGAAGAGCATGTGACTCTTGATTTCGGGGCCTTGAGTTCGAGACCCAAGTTATGTGTAGAGATTACTTAAAAATAAACAAACTTTAAAAAAAAATCTTAAGGGGTGCCTGGGTGGCTCAGTCGTTAAGCGTCTGCCTTCGGCTCAGGTCATGATCCCAGGGTCCTGGGATTGAGCCCCACATCGGGCTCCCTGCTCTGCGGGAAGCCTGCTTCTCCCTCTCCCACTTCCCCTGCTTGTGTTCCCTCTCTCGCTGTGTCTCTGTCAAATAAATAAAATCTTAAAAAAAAATGTAAGATTCCAAAGAATTGATAGATAAAATTTAAAATAAATATGAAGTCTTATAGCCATATCTAAGAAGGCAAATTTACAAATAGCTATGAGCAGAAAATTAAGACAAATTTAAAAACATACCAGTCAAGACTAAGAGTTACAGTGTGGCATGACTAAGATAAATTAACTTACAGGACATAGTATGAACAAAGTAAGAAATCTCTTGCTGAAGGCTGGCAAACACCTCTCTTCCAAAAGATACAAGTTAGACCAAGTGTTTCCAATCCAAGCTATACAAAAAAAGCTGGAAGACAGATGTGATTGGCCAAGAAAAATAAAAATGTGAACCTAGTCCTCAATCAACTGAAGAACTTTTCAGCATGAAGCAGAAATAGATCTTATTATGGCCCCAAAGGACTCAAGAGTCAGATTTTAACTTTCCCTCAAATTAAAAAAAACAAACAAGCAAAAAAAACCCACCAACTTTCTAACGATCAAAGCTTTCCAAAGATAGAATACAGTTCCTCAAGAGTGAGCTCCCAGATAACTGAAAGATCCCAATATGGTTTAGACAACCATTTTTCTAAGATACTGAGGAAAGAATTCAATTGTTAAGTAGCTTCCTCCTTCCAACTCTGACATTTTACGATTATCTAAAAAATAAGTTTCTCTGCAAAACCACTACCTCAGTTACTAATTACATAAAAGAATGTATGGGAAAATAAAGACTATGTCTTCCAAGTTATCCTTTGGGAAATAATAAGGAATATTCACCAGTATTATAAGTTCTCATCCCACTAATGGCTCTCATGTATCACTGTTGCTGGGCATGCTGAGATTTTTCCAGGCCCCACTGCTCTCATTCATAAGTCTATGGATTAACTAAGTCTTCCAATGACATTAAACAGCAACTGAAACTTGCTGTTGATGTGTGGAAATCAAAACTGCTTATTGAGCAACATTTTTAAGAAGCTATAGGAAAAAATGTAATGCTCCTAAAATATGCAGGAAAATAAGACAGTAATGAAAAAGTTACAAAAGAACATTGTTACCATCTTTGCTACACCCGTGTGTGTGTGTGTGTGTGTGTTTATACGTAGGCTCCATGCCCAACGTGGGGTATGAATGAACTCATGACTTCATGATCAAGAGCTGTATGCTCTACCAACAAAAGTCAACCAGCCACCCCAGCAAGTGTTTCTTAATCGGTATCTTAACATTAATCTCTCCAACAACTCCCTTTGTATGTGTTTTTCTACAGCTACAGTTGTTAATGGTATGCTATACTTATTTCCTAAAATGTTATGATGCCAGTTGGGAATGCCACTGATCCAATGCAGTTGTTTTTAACCTAGACCCGGGGTAATAATATTGACGCAAGCTTTTGAAAACAGGTCCAAGCCCTACCCTCCAAAGACAGAATTGTAAAAGCCTCCCAGGTGTTTTTTAATGTACGGTGTTGGTGGGGCGCCTGGGTAGCTCGGTCGTTAAGCGTCTGCCTTCAGCTCAGGTCATGATCCCAGGGTCCTGGGATCAAGCACCTGCGCCAGGCTCCCTGCTCCGCGAGAAGCCTGCTTCTCCCTCTCCTACTCCCCCTGCTTGCGTTCCCTCTCTCACTGTCTCTCTCTCCGTCAAATAAATTTAAAAAAAAGTACAGTGTTGGGAACCACTCACTGATCTAGTTTTATTCCCAATCTACAAAGGAAACGAAGCCCAGAAAGACACTTATTCCAGATACTTAAGAGAAAATCTGGTTAGACTGATTTCTAGTCTAACACCCCTTCTGTTTTACCATGCTAGTGTTCTGCACATAGCAGATACCCAAAGCAGTCGTCCAGCTGCCTTTCCTCCACTTATCTCCCTTATCTTTATCCTCTGCTTAACTAGATTTCCAATCTGTTCTCAATAAAAACCTAAAAGGAGTCTATAAAATCTTGTCTCACTGTTTAACCTAAATATCTCTGTTGCCTACCCACACTGGCAGGAATTCTAGGCTTTCCTCTGCTCTATCTTTAAACTTACATCATCCAACCAACCAAAGGAAAAAAGCCAACTATGTGGGTCAAGAACAAAATGAACACCAAAAAGGACACAATTCACAATTATACCACTGCTGTAAGGTTGAGTTTTGGTAAGAGGAAGAAGTTTGGGCGTGGGGGGTGGGGTGGATATATGCCTTGGAGGGGAATTTGTGCAAGGGGGAAATTTTTACTACTTCACTAGAATGTGTGCTCCACAAGGACAAGGAATTTTTTTCTGTTTTATCTACTATGTAATTTGCCTGGTATATAGGAATGTTTAATAAATATTTGTTGTGGGGAGTCAGGGTGGCTCAGTTGGTTAAGAGACTGCCTTTGGCTCAGGTCATGATCTCAGGGTCCTGGGATCGAGCCCCACATTGGGCTCCCTGCTCAGCGGGAAGCCTGCTTCTCCCTCTCCCACTCCCCCTGCTTGTGTTCCCTCTCTCGCTGTGTCTTTCTCTATCAAATAAAAAA